ATATGACGGGCCTCGAGATAAAATCACATTACGCTTTTGTCATAATGTTGGCCTTTAAAACCGCTATAACTTGCCTGGTCGGCAAACTCATCACTTTTGTTCTCTTGTTCGAGACAAAAATTTGAAATTATGTCAATAAAATTGCTGATTTTGAGCTCATTTCTTCTTCTAAAATGCAATTAAACGTTTGAGATCAAGACCAGCTAGTAATTCTTTTCCGACGTTCGTAATATTACGAATTATATTTTACACGAAATTCTTTATCTAAAGTGGTGTAGATATTTCCACGACAAATGGCGGGCTTACTAGTTGCATATTTAGTAGTCAGAAAAATAAGCGTAAGTTGAAACAAAGCCTTTGCACAATATTTTCGGCTTCTATGCGTTTCTGGTCACGCAAATATTACCCCCTTTAATGCAAATTCACACTGCATATGTATCTGATTGGTTGAAAGGTTGACCTGAGTTTTCAACACCAATCAATAATCTGAGATAATCATGAATTGCTTTAATTAGGACGTGTTGTGCTCATAAGCAGCATTTTGCAGTGTGGCACTCCATTCAGCTCACACCGACTCGCCCGAAAGGTATGTTTACGAACTTTATTGTTTAGGGAAACGAAAATATCTGATCAATCGGACTGTAATAATGCAATAGTGTGATTCAAGTCAGTATTCTTCTTCTTCCTTCCATGTAACCGCAGCGGTCTAAATAAGAGCCCCAAACAAAATGAAAGCAATCAATGTTACTGGGCTATCGCAGTTCGCTTAATGTTTAAGGTTGGTTCGCAGGTTGGCAAAGAAGAGCCGAAATATATAGACGAAACGCCTTCAAGACCTTTATCTCAGCAAGGTACTGCAATCCATTTTCGGCAAGTATTAAACTGCATTTGGCTGCGAACATTTACAGTCATTCAATAATATAAACATTGTTTCGTTTTCTTTGACTTTCCTAATTTGTCATAATTTTATTGCTTTACATTCCTTGCCCTGCAAAACTATCGTGATGATAACGTGAGCAGAGAAAAATTCACTGAACATTGACTAAAGAAACTCCAAGCAAGTGTTAAGTTTGACTTGCCGCACTATGTTAGGTTGTGAGCAATAGCAGATTGTGAACATTGATGGTTTGTGAACCTTGATGGTTTGACATTTTTGACAGCTCTAATCTTGTTCAACCAATCAGATTAGTTGAACCATTCTAACAAGGATTCTGATTGGCTCATTGTAGCCTGCTTAATGAGAGTATAGAGCATGCTAGCGATGCTGTTGTTCTCTTTGGAAGTAAAGTTTGTTTTGAAGATTGAAAGTAGTGCGTGGGGAATCTAACGGATTCTACATTACGAAACAAATGGAGAAGCCTTGTCTTTGCTCTCTTCCGTCATAAAGCACTTGAGAAGCGTCTAGCTCACTCAAGAAGTGGGGAGAAACACTCGTTTACGTCTCATGTTTCTCCCTACACTTCTTTCGTGCTCTAGCCGCTTCCTACATACTTTACAACAGAACAGAGCACAGCCAAGGTTTCTCTATTTGTTAAATAATGTAGTTTTATATTTCGGAATGATGTGTCCGACCAAATGCTTTTCTTTCTTCGTCAGATGAAGATCATTTTTATTTTGTTCCTCGTTCTTGTTTGTGTCGTGGTCGTTGGCGCAGCACCTACAGAGAAGATTAGTTCCTTGAATTCGCCTTGGCCTTACGCTCTGTTGAGTTCCTCCAATGTGCAAGACCCCAAGGCATCTGTATATAGTCTTTGTTGCAGATTACAAGTACCCGCGTGTTGCCAAGGACAATAAATAAATGACGATTTTATGTTTCATTTACTTCGTTGTTACTTTTTTAACCTCGCTGAGGAATTTATCTCTTGAAGTGAGCTAGAAAAATAGGAAATTATAAACAGTTATTTTATGAATATTTACAGCCCAGGTTTAAAGGAAGTGCTTCGATAAGGAATTGGAGTAAATCGTTCAAAGCGTAATTTAAATTTAAGCAACCTTATGATCAGAAGTACGTATTCCGTGCACGTATACAGATATCATTAATTTCACTGCAATTAATTCCTAGTTATGTAAATGAACTTAATCGCCATCAAAATCAAGTAAATTACAGATGGTCGAATACTTCTCATCAATTCTAGAATACAGGTTGTCAACATCGCACAACGTTTCAATTTTGGTTTGTGTCTGCACTCAATCTTTTTTTAAGGGAATAAAATTCATCCAATATAAAATGATTTCGTTTTTTTTCTACTTTCTCGAATCTTGATTTGAATACCTATTTATATTTCATAGTTTATACATTTCTGTTTTTCTATCTCGATTAGTCCGTATCTTGAAGACCGTACTTACAAGTAGCAGGAAGCAGCATGTAGCATGCTACATGTACAGTGCAACTGTTGTTGAAACTTTATCGCGCTTTGAAATGCTTAAAAATAATGCATCCTATTCATCTATACAAGCTAGAAGTAAGGGAACTTGCATGTAGCCAACTGTCACCTGTAGGGAGTATTCCTCGGTTCTTTGGCCTTGTGACATCAAACATGTGACATATCGGGATAACTTCGACGTTTTGAGGCAATATGGTCTATATACAAGTTAGGATTAGAGTATTCAAAATTAATAATTATTGTATGCTATCGGTATAATCAATAATTATTGTATGTTAGCAGTTTATATTGATAAACATCTCACAAAATGGATCAAATTACGCCAATTATACGTGAAAGTTCTCTTTTTTCTCAAAAATGCCATTTCAGAAATAAGGCACTTGAACCGTAAAGCAGACTATTTTACTTTGAAAGATCTTTTTGCAGATACTTGAACTTTATTTAAGCCAATAATCGACTTTGCTACAAATCTTGTTTCTTCTCCACCGAGTGTTTGTTCATTTTCTCAAACAATGACTTACCAGTACACAAGAAGAGTGCACAATCATTGTTTATTCATGATAATGATAGAAGATTTATCTGTGTGCGCTTAAGTGAGTATTGCAATCCTTTAAATCTTTTCCAATACACTCTATCATCGTATAATGTACATGCCGCTGTGATAGATACCGTTGAGATTCGAACGATGGCAACTATCGTAGTTTTAAAAGCACCAAGCACCTTTGTTCCCCAAAGCACAACAAACGAGACTGTGAGAAAAAAAATCACAGCCGTATGAACCACCCTTTGTTATGAACTTAGTGAGAAGTCCTTGTCGAGTCTTCAACTGTGCAGCACTACCAGCAGCACTGCTCCTCCTCCCTTCAGGCCAGCGTAAAACCGCTGTTTAGAATTTGTTCTTTATCCGGATAAGTGATACGTCAGATTGTGTGCTTAGGGAGGTGGTACACGCTGGATCACTACCTCTGTTTGCAACAAGACTTTTATGGACGCTAACTAAACTTTAGAATATTTCTTAGCTTAATATGTAAATTTTTCACAATTTTTAACTTGGAAACTGGTTGACATTGCATTTTGATAGAGCTTGTAAATAGGTCTTAGATTGCACACGTCATTTACGCTTTTTATCTATAGGATGATTGTCACGCTAGCCTCTCGATTACGATTTCAAGATGAATTTTTTATTAGTATTTGTATCTCCTGAATGAATTATTGCACTTTATTATTGTATAGCGTAAACACGAGCTCTATTTAAAATTTTTTTCATCAGACTTTGCTTTTGTTCAAATGAGAGATTACCTAAAGAAGCGAACACAAGGTTAAGCTGTAATAAAAAGTACAAGGAGAAAATACCCTATCACTTGGTGCTTTTTATTCCTCACTTCAGAACTTAAAGAGCAGAGGTTTCGATCAGAACAATCGTTTTGTAATTCTCTAACAGCAACTACGATTTTGAACATTGGATTCTCTAACAGCAACTACGATTTTGAACCCCTAGTCCTAAATGGCAAACCCCTTGAATTAGTCACCAGTGCCAAATTGCTAGGCGTGACCATTAGCCACGATTTAAAGTGGAACATGCACACCTCTGAACTAAGTAGAAAATGTTCCTCTCGTCTCTACTTTTTGAGACAACTCAAGAGATCCGGAGTTGCACCAAGCGAACTTGTGCAATTCTATGTGACATGTATTAGGCCCGTCTTGGAATACGCAAGTCCTGTATTCCACCGTTCTCTACCAAACTACATCAGCGAAGATTTGGAACGGATCCAAAGAAGGGCACTCAGAATCATCTATCCTGACCTGTCATATAGTGTAGCACTAGAAACAGCTGGCCTACCGAAACTTCACGAGAGGAGGGAAAAAAT